CTGACGTAAGCAGTGCTGTAATGAACATGGGATGAGATACCTCTACAAGGTGACGACGGCTTCACCCTCTTTGAGTATATATCCAGAAGAGAGATCGCTGGGTCACACATCATGTTCGAATTTTGCATTCAGACCTCCATGTGGCTTTCCGCAATGGCTGCACTGACCTATATTTCTATCAACAATGTACAAAGGTGCCCTCCTTTCTCCACACCCTCACCAACACTTGTTATTTCTTATCTTTCTGATAACAGCTGCTCTACAAGGTGTGAGGTATGAAATCTAAAAAAATAATTTAAAAATTAACTTGAATACATAGAAACAGTGAGTAAAACAGTAGTTACCAGGCGTTGAAGAAAATGGGGAGATAGAGGTCAAAGGGCACAAAATTTTAATTCTATAGGGTAAAAAAGTCTGAGATCTAATGTATAGCACGATGAGTATAGTTTGCAATACTGTGATCCAGGTTTTGGGTGATTATGTACATTGATGAGTACACTCCTTCGCTGTAGTAACCATTTTACTCAAAATATTATGTTGGGTACCTCAAACACATAAAGTAAAAATGAAGTTTATTAAAATGTATTTTTAAGAAAGAATTTTAAAAGCCTTGATTGGATTCAATGACTCACTTATGGTTACATGGCTAGAAAATAAGGAGTCCTCAAAAAGTTCATGAAAAAAAAAAATATATTATAAAAACACTAGGATGGAGTTCAGTTTTTACCCCATTGTACTTTAATTCTATTTTTCCATGAGCTTTCTGTAGTCCCTTGTAGGGAGCAGGCAGAACTGCCCAGGACACTAGTGACCTTTGAAGCAGAGGTGACCTTTGGGTCTCTGCTGCAGGGCAATGAAAGCTCTAACAGAGACCATACTGATGCTGCGCTGCAGGGCCGTGTGCACTACGGGAAGCTGCGTGTCAGCCAGGGCCAATGAAAGCCAGGGGCACCTGTTTAGAAGTTGAGATGCAAGAACCATGGGACATAAGATGCTCCACAGCTGCAACCCGTTTTTCTCCACCCCTCATTTCAGCCTAAAAGAATAAACCTGGGAACAGCTCGGGCGGCTCAGGGCCACAGCGTTCTCCAGCAGAGACGACTGACTGGTCCGCCTGATCCTGCTTTCTCTATTTGTGTGTCTGTGTGTGTTTTCTCAATTCAATCATCTGCTTCCACTTGGAGTTCTACGTCCCTTCTCCCCACAGTCCGGGGCAGTCCCTCATATGGCAGATGCAGTAATCAAACTCACTTTTAATTGAAGCCAAGGCCCTGGTTTTGAGTCTAAACCATTGTGCCATTAGGTCCAACTAGCAACTAGACACAAAAGTGAATGACTCAGTCCTTGCCTCATAGCCTGGTTGGGAGATACAGAGTAAAAGACAAAAAGTTTCAGAACTAATATAATCAATGCTTTAAGCAAAAAGTATAGAGTGCTATAGGTATAAGATCTCTGTCTGGAAGATATCTGATTCCCTAAGAACTTAAAAAGTCAGCTGTATGATTGCATATATTATACTTAAGATAACGACAACCTTAATTGCTACAACTTATTGTCTATAAGTTGGCAGGCCTATTGTTTCTATGCTTCACAACAAGACTCACTTTTGCTTCTGTTTTTCATCTATTTGGACAACTGTAAAATTTGTGTTCATACAAAAGCTGTATCTATCCTTGGTCCATACTCATCATTTCCATAACACTAATAAGTACAATAGTGCATTCCTTCACAACACTACATCAATTTTTATGATGTGAATCAATGTCTTCAGTTATTACACTTAAGAAATAGATACATTTATTAAAAATATGAAAACAAGTCTCACTATTATGGCTCCCACAGCAGTTTCTGATGTTGGTAAGAGATGACAAATACAGGGAGTCTGTTATTATCACTCTAATGGCAGCCAGATGTGCTCACTAACAGTTGGGTCTGATGTTTAAACATGAGCTAACAGAAAGATTTCTTATTAGAAGGCAGATAGCAGGGATGGACAGTCCAGTCCTTGGCTGCCTATCTTTTAATATGCTGATACATTATCATTCTCAAGATGGACCCCTTCCCACCCTGATCACAGTAGTGAGCACATGACCCAAACTTGACCAACCAAATTTTGTCCTGCAGAAATTTTAATCTTGGTTCTCTCTCTCTCTCTCTCTCTCTCTCTCTCTCACACACACACACACACACACACACACACACACTCAGAAACTGGAATCAGAGTGGAATCATGTGCACCTACTGTAGACTTCAGTAGACTTGCCCTGATTTGTGCCCTTTTCAAAGTTTGGGTTTCAAACTTTTTCAGTTCCTTCCTACATATCCTAGGTTTGAGTTAGCTTTCTCCCCCTTCTCCACCTTGAGCTCTCTTAGAAGCTTTGTGTCCCTAATAAGAACTAACACAGGCTGGGCTCACCACATGAAGTCAATTACCACTTTGTTTTCAGATGATATGAACCAAACTCAAGTTAGCTTAAGAAAAAAAAAATGAAACGTACTAACTCACAGAACTGGGAAGGCTTCGAAAGTGCCCGCCTTAGCCATCAAGCAATCAGTCAGACATTGCCAGGGCTCTGAATCTGTCAGCTTTGTTCTCTAGACGGTTTCCTCATTCTCTTTTACTAAAGGCGAAAGTTCTCACTTTGGCAGAGGACATGATTGGGACAATGTTAAGAACTTATTTTCTAGGACCAGGAGATAGAGGAGTGGTTTCGTCGCTGGACTCCCACATGGCCGATAATGGTTCAAGTGCTTGAAACTCATACCAGACACATATGCATGCATGCCCAAGATCCCAGGAGGAGAAAGGATTGCAGTGTGGCCACCCCCACCCCCTACGGTGGTAATCTCTCACTCTCTCTCACTGTCCTAGTCTGCCTCTCTCTCTGGTGAGGGCATGCACCCTAAAGCAAAAACCTCTAAAAAAAAAAAAAACCCTTAAAAAAAAAAAAAAAAAAAAAAAAAAAGATGAAGAAAAAATATATTTTCTTTTTCCCAGTGTCTATATGTGTTCCCCCCAATCACAGTTGGACCTCAGTTATGTTAACACCCCTCAATCCCAACCCCATCACGTTCATGAATACCTCATGAAACAGATAAAGTGCAAAGAAGTGGTCATTCAGTATCAGAAAAACAGACACTAGGCAGGCAAAAATAAAGCAGTATAGTATGATAAAAATGCATTTTTGTAAAATATGAAGTACTATAAATTTAGCTTTAAATGTAAAAATTGAAAGACATGGAAAAGTTTTGTCAAGTGAATGATCTATTTCTGTTATTGAAAACCAACTGAAATAAAATTCTCGACCCTGATTATCTACCATCAGTTCTCATGACGTGATGGGCATCTTACCAGTGAGTGTTGATTACCTAGCTTTATCTTCAATACCATCTAGAAGTGCTGCTTACACACAGCGTTGCTTGTAAAATATTAAAGCTCATCAAATATTAGCTCTTTTATTTTGACAGAATTGTTATATTCTACTTACTGCCAGTTATTTTATTTATTTACTTGCTAGAAGTGTTTACTAAGGAGAATGTTTAGTGCCAAGCTGAAGTTCTGGGAAGATGGCAGCTGTCACCACCGCGCCAGGGGATGGCTCAGAAAGCATGGTGTGGCCAGGAGCGTAGGTGTGCACCAGGGCAAATCCTAGAGTGGACTGGCCAGGCCCAGCTGCTGGGTCTCCAGCCACGATGTCCTGGAAACATCCAGTTAAAGACAAAAAAGGAAAAGGCTGGGTAAGTCTTAAGAGAAAAAGCAAAAGAAACCACAAGTGGTTTCAGTCCAGTTTTGATGCTGAACCTCTATGAAGTCACTTCACCAGGTCACCAACCACCCGCACCTACAAGGATTCCTGTGGCCAGATGTTCCCAAAGGGGAAAAAAAGGGGAGAAATTGAGCATTTCATAACATATCTCTGTTAAAGAGAACACAACTTGACGAAGAGAAATCAGGGTAACACAACTAGTAAGCAAAACAGACTGCTGAAGACGATTTGAAATGCAGGTTGAGTGTGCAGTTAATGTGGCAGTTAGTGATAAGGAAATGCACTTTGCTTTCTCAGCTAAGCCAGGTATGGTTAGCCACTGGTTTTCCAGAAGTTAAAAGGGGAAAAAGCCTTGAGTAATCCCTACATGGTGTGATGGAATTCACAGTACCTTTCAAATTATCTTAATTATAATTCTGGGTCAGAATTAAACCTCGCTTTCACAAAGCAGTTTTTCAGTTTGCCTGAGTTGTTTTCTTTTGCCAAAGGGGCTTGTCATTTATAGAAGATATGGCAAAAAGCAGAGGATCTATTTATGAACATCTCTTTCTTGGGCACTGTTTCCTTTTTTATTTTTTCCAGGGAAAATGAATGTTTTGTTTAGATAATTTTAACAAAAAAATTAGTGATATGCTTAATGTATAGAAACAAATTTGGCATAAACTTACCAAAAAAAATATATATAAAAAAGTATCCTAATACTTTTACTTTGGGATCTACTTCATTACTCCAAAGAGTTTTCAAATACATAACATCCTATGGAGCATAACCTTTACCATTTTATATCTCATTGCTTATATAGTTTTTGTCTTGATAAGGATAGTTCAAAATTTATGGAAAACGAAATTAAAGTACAAATTTATTTTTGTGAAAAATATTTTTGAAATCCATAGTTTTTTTTTTTTTAAATACACAACTAACTAAAATTTAGACCTAACACAATACTGCCTTCATTGAAAAATCTCTACTCCTACTAGAAAATGAATGTGAAAGAATCCCGGAAGATCTAATTGGGCAATCCAATGTTTGTGTGTAAGTTCCTCAATAGCCATATTTTAAGACATCATTTCCTCCTATCATTCCCATGCTCGAAGCCCTTTTATTCTCACCCAATCACCATATTTTAACCAAATTCAAAGTAATATCAACCATACCAAGATATTAATTTGTAAGAGGCCGCTGTTACAGGTAAGTCTGTTACCGCACAGCCCCTGAGCGGGAGGAAACACGAACCTTCCGTCTGCAGTCTCATACTTCCTTTACCTGGAGGGAAATCAGAGAATTACAGAGGAGGAAACAAATTCCATCTCTATACCTCTTTCTCAAGATGGATGAGAAGAATAGAAATAATTTAAGTGCCTACCAAAGTGACTAACTCAGAAAACATGCAATAGACAGAAACTATTAATCTTTTCAAAACAGTTTTTTATTATCATGATTTAAAAGGCTATACAAATTTATTAGATAAAGATTTTAAAATGTTAGGCTACAAAAATAATAGAGCTCTTGAATTCTCAAACCTAACCTCAACACTGGTAAAACCTTGGAAACTGGGGCCAACAAGTGGCATAGTGGTTAAGGCGTTGGACTCCCACATGGCTGAGTGTGGTTCAAGTCCTGGAATTGGGGGCTTAAAACTCATGCTGGGCACATGTGCATGCATGCATGCATGCATGCACAAAACTCCCAGAGGAGAAGGGATTGTGTCATGGCCAACTCTCCTGGGGGGTGATTTCTCACTTTCTCTCTCTCTCTTTCCCCCCTCTTCTCTCTGGCAAGCACATGTGCCCTGCAGTAAAATCTCTCTTAAAGAAAACAAATAAACAAAAAAACCTTGGGAAATATTTTGCCTTCATGCCCCTTATAAGCTGTTTTTGCACCTAAAAATATAAAATGGCATCATGACTTTCCTAACAACCCAATATATCATGTGAGAAGAATAGAAATAATTTAAGTGCCTACCAAAGTGACTAACTCAGAAAACATGCAATAGACAGAAACTATTAATCTTTTCAAAACAGTTTTTTATTATCATGATTTAAAAGGCTATACAAATTTATTAGATAAAGATTTTAAAATGTTAGGCTACAAAAAGAATAGAGCTCTTGAATTCTCAAACCTAACCTCAACACTGGTAAAACCTTGGAAACTGGGGCCAACAAGTGGCATAGTGGTTAAGGCGTTGGACTCCCACATGGCTGAGTGTGGTTCAAGTCCTGGAATTGGGGGCTTAAAACTCATGCTGGGCACATGTGCATGCATGCATGCATGCATGCACAAAACTCCCAGAGGAGAAGGGATTGTGTCATGGCCAACTCTCCTGGGGGGTGATTTCTCACTTTCTCTCTCTCTCTTTCCCCCCTCTTCTCTCTGGCAAGCACATGTGCCCTGCAGTAAAATCTCTCTTAAAGAAAACAAATAAACAAAAAAACCTTGGGAAATATTTTGCCTTCATGCCCCTTATAAGCTGTTTTTGCACCTAAAAATATAAAATGGCATCATGACTTTCCTAACAACCCAATATATCATGAACATCTTCCCATGCAAATATGGACATCGTTTTAATTCCCATAACCCTAGTTAATACACACTGGACAGCTGCGACACACTTTATTTGGCCACCTTTCCACTGCTGAGCACTAATCTTGACTGCATTTTTTGTTTTAATAAGTAATGCTGTGACAGAAATGTAGCAAATATTAGTATACTTATTTATTTTTGCCTTTATGAGTAAACCTATTAGGTGTAATTGGTAACTATGATTAAAATTATTTTTCTCATATATAACTTGGCTAGTATCTGCCTTTTCTTTTAGGAAGTAAATGTGTGAACGGCTCAGATATATTTTCACTTCTCCCACTTTACTGAGCTACTCTGGCTTTGTAATTCTTCCCCTCAGAGTTTATAGTCTGGTAAGAAGTGAAAACAGCCTAAAAAAGCTCGCCTTTTACAAAAAGCCTAAAAGCACTGGGGAAATGACATCACAGAGCTGGGGTGGAAAAGAGCAAGGTGGCCTGTCTGAAGAAAGGGGCGCCTGCAGTTCCTTTCAGTGATCCGGACATAGCCTGTGTCCATGAAGGCGACCAGATCGAGGAGAGAACAGTGGGGACCACATCTGAGAAGTGTCGATCCTAGCAAAGAACCACTGAGTTTCTTCGGGAGTTTCTGGGCTTCGACTGAAAACTGGCTCGGAAAGATGACAGCAGTAACAGCCTGATGAAGTGAACAGCCAGGTGCCTTCCTCCGTCTTCTAAGCATTACAAACGCCCCTTGTGGAACCCTATGAGGGGATAGGACACTAACAAAGACTGATAAGAAATCTCTTAGCACTCTTTTGGAATGGTGATGTCAAGTACCATTCCAAAAATGGTACTTTAATTTTAATCAATCAGAATGATTTAAAGAACATGATAAATGTGACAGTTCTTTCATACATCATTTGCTAGACTCCGAGTCATACAACTAAAACTCTAGTTCCCCAGGGATAAGTATTGTATCTGTCCAGTAATAACACTATTTCAGGCCCCTACCAGAAGGCCTGACAGTGCAGGCACTCAACACCGCCTGAAGTGAGTAAGAAAGTAGTAACACGATGGGCATACTGATAAAGTATGAAGGAATACAGTAGCTATAGCATGAAGGAGCTGAAAAGACCTTTTTGAAGAGCATACACTGGAGACAGGAAACAGTCTCTGGTCTTCATACATGAAGGCTTTACATTTTCTCCCATTTTCATAGAGCTCCTTAGGGAGGCTGGGCACAAATTATGCAATGACTTTCACACCTTACTTGGGTTCTACTCTGTGCTCTGCATTTTACTTTCCTGGGGTTTTAGTCCACCCTTGTTCTAGTGGCTTCTACTTACGTAGTTCCTAACCACACAAGTTATCCAACCATTTGAAATGTGTCTTTTCCCTTATTCAATCTGTCATACCTGGCTTACAGCCCTGGTAATGGATGGCCTGTAATCCCTAGCTCTTTCCCCTAGAGCGATCTTGCATTAACCTTAGAATTTGAGAGAGCAATGTTTCTAGATTGAGAAAATAACATGAGCAAGTGTAAAATAGCACATAGAACAAAATCTCAGGTAGGAAAGACTTATATTTCTTAGTATAATATATTTGAATCACTGGTTACTTATATTTAGTCCCATCATATTTAAATCAACATAAATGGAACCAAACAAGGTACTTAAGAACTGAATTGGGAGACCAGCAGATGGCATAATGTTTACATTGTTGAACTTCCACATGACTGACTGCAGTTCAAGACTCGAACCTGGAGGCATGAAACACACCAGACGCATGTGCACATGTGCCCCAAATCCCCACAGAATGAATGGAGAGAGGGATTGAAGGAGAAGGAGAGAATGGAGAAAGGACTGTGGTGTGGCCATCCCTCCTGGGGGGGGGGTGATTTCTCACTTTCTGTCACTGTTTCTTTAAAAAATGCACATGCCCTATAGCAAAAATCTGTCTTGAAAAAAAAAAAAAAAACTTAATTGAAAAAAATCTATTTTTTATTTCTTAAATCGCAAAACATATAGCCAACTGGTTTTTGACAAAGGATACCAGTCAATCCAGTAGGAAAAAGAAAACCTCTTTAGCAAATGGTGCTGGGAAAGCTATAGAAAGATGAAACTGAATCCTCATCTTTCACCATTAACACAATCAATTAAAAATGAATCAAAGATCTGAACCTAAGACATTCAACTATAAAACTCCTTGTGGAACACAATGGGGAAACTCTGGGAGACACTGAGGTAGGCAAAAGCTTCTTCACTGAGATCCCTCTGATGTGTTCTAACTTAGCATTTTGTTTCCTAATTATACAAATTTGGACTTTTTTTTTTTCTTTTTTCAGGAGAGCAAAATTAAACCAAAGTTTAGTTAGGAAAACTTTACGGAACTCTCATTTCACGGTCTGTGAATACAATCAACTCTCAAAAATTAGGAGGTTGATTAGTGTACAGATTACCAAGGCTATTTACCTTCCTTCCTTCAGTTGCATCTCTCCCGACTACTGGATTGTCTACCTAAATTCCTACCAGATAAACCCAAGTGAAAGAAGTTTAAAGTCAACAAGGGTATGGAATCATAGAACATAACAGATAACATTATGCCTCACCAACTTTGTATGCTAGTGCTAATCAAAACCCTCATATACACACACACACACACACACACACACACACACACACACATACACACACACTCATCTCAAAACAGAAGGTAGGTGGGAACCAGCAGTTAGCGTAATGGCTATGTCGCTGGACTCCCACGTAGGCGACCGCGATTTGTGTCCCGGACCCGGTGGCTTAAAACTCACGCCGGGCGCGTGTGCGTCCGTGCCCAAGATCCCGAGAGGAGAATGGAGAAGGGATTGCGGCGTGACCATCCCCCCTGGGGGGTGATTTCTCGCTTTCTGTCTCTATGTCTCTCTCTGTCTGTCTGGCGAGCGCACACGCCCTACAGTGAAAATCTCTCCAAAAAAAAAAAAAAAAAACAGAAGGTAGGTTTTAATGTTGAAATTACTTATTGAGAAGGTTCCTTTCTGACTTACTTGTCAATTTCACTGATTTACCAATGCTCACCATTGCATGAGAATCCGAGAATTTCTAGTGAGCCTTTTACTGTTCATGGAATTAACGATATCCTGTACAACTAGATTAAACTGCATAAAATGAAATAGGATTATACCTTTCAGCTGATCCAAGGAGAAAAAATGTCACCCAAATGCACCACTGAAGCTTCATATCTATCTTCCAACTTTAAACATTAAGCAAAGTCATTTCAGTGTTTTATTTTTTCTCCCTTCTGTAAACTGAATTAGTTTCTATAAACCAGTTGGAGTATATACTCTTTGGGGAATGACTTTTATAGATCCTACTAATTAAAGTGTATCCTACTAGCATCCAGAAAGTTCAGGATAGCAAATGTTTCCAAAGTAGGTAATTGAGATTTTAAAATCATGGTAAAAGTGGGACTCTCTGGAATTGCCACTAGTAACTAAAAGAAATAAAGGTTACTGTATATTTTCCATCAAAAAATATTTTCATAGGTTTAAAGAAAAATAGCAAAAAATATATTGGTTTTAGATACTGACACATCTTAAAATCAAATATATTTTATATGACAAGGTATACGTCTGCTATTTTTATGGCTATTATCTAAACACGCCTTTATACCATGTCTGCTTATACTCAAGAAACACAGAAATGTGAACCAGGATAAACAATGTCTTAGGCATATACCTTGTGACTC